GTTTGATTTTCCATCAGCATCTGCGGCTGTAATGATATTCTCTAAATTTGAGGTTACATAGAGAGTACCAGTTTTCTTACCACGAGCAATGACGAGTGCTCATTTTGGTAATCTTCCATTCACAGTCTGAAAAAGTTGTGCTATATCCTTCTCCATCAAGCTGTCCAACAGAAATCAAATTTCTTTTGAAACCAGGAATATGTCTCACACCTTTCAACGTCGAGGTGGTCTGGTTTGGCAACTTTAGTCGGATGTCTCATATTCCGACGATTTTCAAGGTTTCATCATCAGCTAGACGAACCTTCCCAAAATCACCACTGACATAGTTCTCCATGATTTCTCGGCATGGGATGGAGTGGAAAGATGCCCTTGAATCCAAGATCCAGGATTCAATCGGACTGTTGACGCTTAGAATCATGGCATCACATGTCTCCTCTGTCATGTTTGCAGATTCCTGTGCGCTGGTATCTTTCTTCAGTGCTCGACAATCCCTTTTAAAGTGACCCTTCTTGCCACAATTATAACAGGTAAAATCTTTCTTTCCCATTCTTGATTTTCCCCGTCTGGATTTCGATCTGCCACGATTTGAATTTCTTTCTGAAGTTCTCCCTCTGGACTCCGTGTGCAAGGCTGAGGAGGTTGATGCTTCACCCGATTCTCTCCGTCGAATTTCTTCACTCAATACCAGATCCCGAACATCGTCAAATTTTAATTTGTTGTTTCCCGACGAGCTGCTGACTGCTGACTGCTGTAATAGTAGCATTCTAACTGTCTGGTAGAGATGATAAGAGAATTAAAGCTCGAACTTTATCATCGAATTCAATTTCCACTGAACTCAACTGGGTTGTGATTGTGTTGAGTTCATTCAGGTGTTGTGCCACCGATGCCCCTTCCGCCATCCGCAAATTGAATAATCGCCTCATCAAATGAACTTTGTTTGAGGGTGATGGCTTCTCATACATACTGGAGAGAGCCTCCATAAGACCCGCCGTGGTCTTTTCCTTTGCTATGTTGAAAGCAACATTTCGGGACAACGTCAGTCGGATGACTCCGAGGGCTTGTCTGTCGAGAAGGGCCCAATCTTCATTCTTCATGCCCTATGGTTGCTTTCCTGAGAGGGTTAATATAGATTTTTCTGGTACAAAAAATCTTCAATCTGCATCTTCCAAAAGCCAAAATCCGCACCATCGAAATTTTTAATTTTCACCTTCCATTCGTCTGCAGCCATCGCACTCACTCAAATCTGGATTCGTTTGGATCGTTTCTGACAATTCTTGCGAACCACCGTGTATTAGAACACCTCCGTCGACAAATTCGTATCGCTGACAAAATTTCACTATTCATGAAATTTACTATTCACGTAAACATTAATGAATGAATAGTAATCACGCAAAAAATTGATAAAATTCACAACCAAAAGCTCTGATACCAGTTGTTGGGAAATAAACCGAGTATGAGTAATTTCCCTATAACCAGATTAGTGAGAATGCGAAATAAAAGCGGAAAAATAATACCCGAAATTGATAACGGAGTTCAGCCAATTTGCTTACGTCTCCGGACTGCTGCAGATCTTTTACTAAGAGAGAAAATTTACAGGTGTTTACAAAACACTCACTACTCACAAGAAAACTCTCTAGTATTGGGAGAAAGAAATGATTTGAGATTTTGGGATGTTTTTGAAGATAAATGAGATAGGGTACTTATAGTTGAAGCTTAGGGAATAATCTTTGAAAATACCCTAAAGTCCAATGACTAAAGTGTAATAAACCCATTTCAAAAATTCAAACAACATTTATTGCACCGAATTCAGTGGAATTCAGTGCCCTCTCCTCAACCCCTTTCTTTGACTTTTCTCTAACAGAAATAAGAGAAAAAATCAATAGTTTTACATATTAACAATGATGAATATGAAGAATTATGTTCAACAAATGCTATAAAACAATAAGGTTTTCTCACTATCCTCATCACATATAATAACCAGAGCTTAAAACCCTTTTTAAAGGCTGGGTTTTATGGAATCCTCAAGAACATTTTTTCCGAAATTAATTTCATGTTCCGTAAACATTGTGTTTCGTAATAGTATAATGTATCCCTTTCTCTTGAGCAGAAAACGGTAATGCATCAGCCACGATGTTTCGTTACACACTGTCATAAACCTTGAAAGTGATATTACTGGAATTCTATTTTCGAGGCTGCCATCAATTGTTGGCAGCATCCCGTCCCAAAGATGGGTAATGCGTTACTTTTCAAAATGCGATCTTTAAAATATTTTTATAATAAGAATTAGTTTATCAAATTTAAGATTTAAGAGATCTACAAAGTATTTTTATCAAAATTCATAATAGGAAACGATTAAAGATAATGTTAAAATCTTCATTTGCAACTTTATTTGTCACTTTTCTTCTTACATGTAAGGATGAACATAGAATTTTATGTTAGGGGACGAATCTCTAAAATTTTAGAATAAGACGAATTTATAAAATTCCAGGTGCATGGAAATAAAATTTTCAATAAAAAATACAACAAAAATCTAAAATATATGATAATTTTAAAATTGGTAACTGCCCCCGATCCACTCCGTTCCCTTCATTTCATCCCTATATATATGCATGAATCTAAATAATATTCATGCGTGCTGGTAACTGTGCGGTTTTTGATTGAATGGAACTTGGAATGAGTCGACACACATTAGAGAGGGATAGCCTGCATTGAACTGCGGATGTATGAATAGATACGTACTCGATTTTATGATAGGAAATAAACTTATAAAAATTTAATTTTAGAAGAGATTATCAGCCTAAAATAAAAAAAAAATCTAAAATATACAAGAACTTAAAATTTTTATGGAAACAATCAACCCCTTATGTCGAGATCGTGATATCAGGGACTGATTCCACAGGCATATTATTCCATATCGAAATGGTGTCTGGGCCACCGCACCAATTATAGCGTACAGCATAACACATGGAAATTAAAGGGTTCAAATTGGATCTCAATTCCCATTTGAATTCTCTTCTCCATCATTTCCTGTTTGAATGTCTCACAATATGCACCAACTTAAACTTGTATATAGAGCTTGACTATCATTTTCTTCATTTCCTCGGGTTAATAAAGGTGAATAGTTTCGGGAGCAATATATCTTTCCAAATCTTAAAAAAGTTAAAAAAGAAATGAAATTTAAATATTTTTAATAAACTTTTGCATGTAAATGTAGTGAGATAGAACATGGAAATTTCCAAGGTGAATTAGAAAAGATTCATAATCTAGACAAACCATTGGACATCTAATGTTTTTTTCTATCCAAAAGTGCAGATTCTAGGACAAGTTGATATCTTCCTATAATCTTTTTGTCCCTAAAGTTAGAAAAAATAAAAATAAAAACATTGAAAACACTTTAAAAATATGTTTTACATAATGAATTATTATTTCGATAGGTGGAAAAAACATTTCACAAACGAGATTATATTTAATATCAGTTGTATTATTTGCCTCAGCAAACTTCTCATAAACTACACTAGACAAAATCCTCACAAAAAATCAAGAGATGCCTCAACAAAGTTTAATTGGATTGCCACACTCCTGTCTGCTAGCATAAAGATAATATGCATGTAATTGACTTCCATTTTCTTTGGCATCTTTCTTCTGGTTAGTTCCTTATCTGGTATAAACCCATTGGATGCATGTTGAATAAATAAGTCCCTACAAAAAGAGTGCTGTTGGAGTTGGAACAAAGGATTTTCATTAAGAAATTCATCCATAACCTTTATCCTAATGGGTTGGAAACAACCAGGCCCCAGAGAATATATCGAATATCAATTTTACAAATATTCAAAACATCACATCCTTATCACCAACCCCTGATATTCCTTTATTTTTTTTAAACCAAAAAAAATTCCATCTTAGAAGACCACTAGGGAACCGGCACGTGGTAAATTATAATTCCAGCAGATTATTATTATGATACAATAATGACAAAAAAACCTGTCAATCTTGCTTGTTAAAGATGGTGCAAAATGATTCTCACTATGAAAAAGAATTTTTTTTAAATAAATACTTTGTATTGATAAGGATACAAGGTACACCATCTTATGGACCTCATTAAAAAAAACTTCTTAAATCTATTTGGAGAAAAAAGAGTGAACAATATTATGGAAAAAACATAAGCCATAGACAAGCTCATAAGAAATCAAACACAGCTACAGGAGACTACAAATGATGATGTTAATGATCTAAAGATATGCATCAAACTTCTATAGGTTACATGGAGAAGATAGTTAGTGTCCCAAGTGTGGCTCTTAGCATTTACTCTTTACTGGTGTTGTGTAGGGTAAAATAGGGTTTCACGGAGAGTCAGCTGAAATGGAGAATATATCTGTTTTGCTCGTCCCTTTGCTTCGGGAAGATCGACATTTTTTTTCCTTTTCCAAATGCTTCTGTTTTCTGTGTGAGCGAATATCACATTATGCCAGTGATTGCAGTCCATACCCATGCCATTTATCTGTCAAAAGTTTATATGATTTACACTGCTACATTATTAGACTTTCTGATACATACACACAATTAAAAAGAAAAATTACTTGAGATGAAACTATTAACCTTCATCAAAAGTTCTAGCAGATTTATCATTATATATATTCATTAAAAGTGCTGCTAGTACTTGCAATTAATGTTTGTTTCCTAAGAACTAAAAGAACTATACTCAATTAAGTCCATGATACATTTTACAGAAGAGAAAAACAAACAGCAGCGCAAACAAATTTTCTGTCAAGGCTAATATGAAATGGAATACATACATCACCAAACAACTAAGAACAAAAATGTTTTCAAGATCTGCAGAAATCTTGGTCCCAATACTGCTTTAAAACTACTGAAGGGACATTAATGTAAATGCACATGAATGGGGGAGACATGTCTAGGAACTTGTTGCAGTAAGAGGGCAAGACCCAATAAGGTTTTTTCGTGGAGCGTGAGCTTCTCCTCTCATATGCTTTGCCTCTTTTGGTGGAGCTTTAAACAAGAAACTGCAACAGCAGCTTCACAGTAAAACCCTAAAACATCTGGTCTCCAACTTCTCGAGAGCTGCTTTTAAATCACTCAAGATGTAAAACCAACAGCCAATTTGAACAAGAAAATACAATACCTCGTTGGCTAATTATCTCAAAATTAATATAATAAGAGACTTCATAAGGCAAAGAAAAAGAAAATGTTCTTTAAATAGTATAAACCTCAGCCCTAGACTCCAGAAACAGCTGCAAAATTTTCCTCCTGGAGCGAAAAACGAAACTTTCCTTTCGTAGTAGTCAAACAATGAGAACGCACCGCCATTAAGAAGTTGAGATAATCTATATAAATGTCAATGAAGAACAAACAAACAAGCTAATAAAGCGATCATTATTCCTACATTGATATCTCAGCCACAAATTATTACTATATATAAAGGTAGTGGTCGTCGTGAAAAACATGGATGAAAGTAGTTTAGGTGTTGATAAAATAACAGCAGAAGGAGCTCCCTTCAGTCCAAGCACAGGAAGATTAGGATTCAATTTGTCTCCCGCATCATTCACTCATTTACTGAGTAACTATTTGCAGGCCGGTCCATTTTAACTCAGTATTTGGGTGAATGAGTCGGCAGCTAATTAAATCCCATCGCTACCCATGGGTGGACTGAAGAAAGCTCTCTCTTACCTATTAGATCATCAACTATAAGAAAAAAGAAACAAACAATAAACAACTTAGAGAAAACCTGACAAAAAATAATAATAAATCATAAGATATATTGTATATATGTAGAAGTCGTGAGAATTAAATTGCAGATTTCTGTGATACATAGATCTATGGAACCACTTTCACACTAATTTACATCATGCAACCCTAGAGAACTCCAGACGGAAGAATAAGTCAGCTAGTAGAAATTAGGCATAGAAATTTCTTCACTGTGACAAGTCAAAATGGATAACGGATTAAAAGTGAATGGAAGTAGAAGCTGCGTTAACAAGTGGGAGAAAGAGAGAAACGGCAGAGAAGGGAAAGGGAGATTAAAGAAAGCGACTGTTCAAAAAGGAAGATCTTTGTACAAAGGCGAGTAAAGAGGATGGAAGCTTTGGACTTTACAAAGAAGAAAGGGAGAAGGGAGATTTATTTCCCCCCCTAAGTTTTCTTCTTCATAATGGTGACAGGCAACCACAGCTATTGCACTTCAGCAAGAAGGATATGGCATTATATAAGCTAAAAAGGAAAGGGTTTAGTGCCCATTAGGATGTATTCTCTCTTTATATGTATCTTCCATATATGATATAAAAAATTAATGCTTGAATTCATTCAACGATTTTTTTTTCAATAATGAATTCGAGTTTAAATTTTAAATACTTAATAAAAATTAAAAATAAATAATTAAATTTATGAATAAACTACAGTATGATAATTTAATTATAGAAAATTTTAAATTTGACCACTTATCTTTCAATTTTATAAACTAAATTATTTAATTATTTAAATCGTTCCAATTAAGTTATTTATCTTTAATATTTAACGGATAATGTGACCTTAAAATTAATTTTTTTAGTATAATTACATATTTAATTCATGTTATTTATACATTCTATCAATTTAATTCTAATTTTAATTTAACCCAATAAATTTAATTCTCTAATATATATTGAGTTATCATCTGATTGAATGATTAAATTCAAATATAATTTTTTTATTTAATAAATTTAATTTTTTTGTCCAATCAAACGGTAATATATATTACTCTCATGTACTAAACATTTACATCCCTAACATACATAAACCTTAAATTAAAACTAGTAAATAACAACATGAGATGTCTCTAGTAAAAGACAACAACTTTCTCAATATCTCTAAATATTATTCTCACACTCTTAATTTCTTTCTCAATATCAATTTCCACTAATTTTACTAAAACTCTTATTCATATTATTTATAATGCATTGCTATATAGAATTGTATGTGAGGTTCATACCTTCCAATCTCTTTGCACTAATAGTTATGAAGATGCATCACTTCCCTGCTTTACTATGTGGAACTAATTTATCTATGCTTTGTTTTATTAAATATATGCACAACCCTTAAATTTAAAGCGATTAAACCGCATTAATATTAAAAAATTATAAATATATATTATCTTGTAATTATTTTATATTATTAAAGATAAACTCGTTTCAACTTCAACCTCACTCCACTTCTTTACTCCGCCCAAAATATAAAGTCTTCTTATTTTCTCATTTGCATACACACTTGGAACTTCATAAAATGCTTGGAATTTAAAACAATACATTCTTTTGGTGGGGCATAGATTTTTTCATTTTATTATTATGTTTTATAAAAATAAAGTATGCTTTATGATAGCTGATAATTTATTATTACCCGTGGCGGAGCTTATTGATAAAATTTAGGGAGTCAATTTAAAACTTTAAAAAGTTTAGAAGTTTAAATTAAGACTCTGAAAGGTTTAATTTATTTTCCTCCAAAAAAATATTTAGGTCTAATTAAAATTTTTGAAATTTTTATAGGCTTAATGATTTTTTTTAAATATGGGAAGAGATTTAATTAAAAACTTAGACCTTTAAAATTTAAAAAAAAATTAATTTGACCTTCCAAAACTTTTAGAAATTTAGATTAAATTTTAAAATTTTTAAAATTTTAAAATTTTGGAGGGACCATACCCCTTTAATCTTGCTTGTGATCAGTTCCTGATTATTACCGTTATTGACAATAAATATTTTAATTTTAAATATGAATAATTTGTATTATCTTTTATATTTAAGTGTGATTGTAAGATAATATATATTTATAAAAATTATAATATTTTGTAATCATTAATCATATATATATATATATATATATATATATATATATTGAATTTAAAATTTTAAAAGGAATAGCACATTTTTATCAATAAAATCCTTTGATAGATTCTAATAATAATATATATTGTGATAAAAAGAACAGGCATATCTGACATTCAGGTGGATAGGTTTGAATTGAAGCCACGATTGCTTTTGTTTCCAATTAAACATAGGCAAATCCAGAGATTCATCGATCTTTCCGCCTTCTCGAATTGAAACTCCGACATTAATCGATTACTTCATAACATGGTGTTTTAATTTGTCAGAAAAACTCAAGCTCTAAGCTTTTTACATTGATTGATATTACAATGCAAAGATGTTTCAACTTTTCTTTAGACAAAACCCTGAAAAGATGGCCACATAAACCCTAAAATATTCCTGGAAAACCTACAAGCCGCCTACTTTTTTTTCTCTCCAGATTATACCGCTACCTTTCCTTTTTTTTATCTGCTAAATATATACTTGTCAAAACGGACAGGGTTTAATTAATATTAATGTCTTTTAGCACAAGCCTTGCAGAGAAATTTTGGTTCATAAATATATAAATAAACCAGAAAAACCAGTTAGCAGAGCTTTATCTGAAATCGAAATCCAAAGTACAGGCTGAATCCATGATGTCGTGCATCGTGCACATGAAGAAGTAAAGCCCCCTTAATTATTCAACAAAACCCAGATTTGTTTATCTCTTAATGATCAAAACTCTATTTTTTTAATCAAAGTTGAAGCTGAAAAACATTACTACTATTTTATTAGTGTCGGATTAGAGAAAGTCCTCAGGAACAGATATTAATTAGATCGCATGTACTTTGGTCGGTTTTATATTTAATTTAGACAAATAATCAAAACTCCCCCATTGGCTCTCCTTCACGCATTTTAAACCGTAATTTCAGGTTATTGTGAGAAAAAAAAAGGTTTTAACAATTTTAACTATGAAATTCTCAAATCTTACAATATTTATACACATATTTTTCAAGTATCTAAATATAGCCTTTTAAACATATGTTCATCGAGTGTTGGAAGATAATATCTATACACATGTATCGTCATAGTGACTCGGGTTTATTCTTCGATCACTAGACATGTACCACATGCGTGTTTTTAGATAAAATCCATACTTTTTTTTAACATTTTGATTCCTTGTTTTTTTTTTCATTTTAATCATAAATGATGCAAACCATAGAAATAATATAATTTATGTGACACAACTTTATAAAAAAAATATTTTCTCAAATAAACATTTTAGGATGCCTGAAGGGTGTTGTTTTCATCTTGTTGTGTTCAATAAAATTTAAATTATTGTTATTGTCGAAACGATTTTTTCTTTACAAAAACAAAATGATTTAGTTTGTAATTAAGTGTGATTTTTTAAAAGATCTCCTTTTTAAAGTTAAAAAATGGTTCGAGGAGTCGTCACCAATTTTTGATTAGTGTATGATTGGGCACCCAAAATGTTTTGTCATTTTAATAAGATTTAATTTTAAAAACTATTAAAACAACGTTTTAAGGCTTGCGTACCAAAAATTGAGTTCGGGAGTCGATTACGTGTGGGGAAGGATTAGCACCCCCACAACGCCCTAAATCGGTACCTAGTCGATTAATTAATTGTCTTTGCAATGAAATCTACAAGTTCGAATTTAATTTAGTTTAAGATCCCTTCAAATAATATTCTTTGAATTTTAGAACGAAACATAATAACATTTAATTATTTCCTATCAAGAAGAAACAACATCTCATACCTTGAGGCAGTCGAGTCCTACTCCAATCAAAATAAAGAAATATTACAATTTCATTCTAAAGTTCAAATGCATGAATGATAATAAAATAAAACAAGTTAAATTAAAAATTACCACTCCTTTTAGAAAGAAGAAGGATATTCAATTATTTAAAGACGTCGAGATTAGACCTTTTATAAGTTCTAACGATCTTTTCTCGAAGAAATAAACAAACATTTCTTCTTCTTCTTCTTTCGTTCCCCATGTTTTAGGTGTGATCAAATTTTAGGGTTTTGCTTGACGAGATACCCTTTCATTTTAAAATTATCGAAAGCAACTTTCTTATATGTTAAGACAGTCACTTCACAAAAATCCTAAATGAAAGAGTATTGCCCATAATCAAATTATTTGAATCGAATCGAGTTATGCTAATGGCTATCGTATATGTTATATAAAGGATGTCACATGCTTAGTATTATAATTGAAGAACCTAGGTCAAATACACTCAAAAGAGCACATGCAAATGCAACTGCAATTATATATAATTTATAAACATGTCAAGGATTAATATTATTTAGATTTAATTAAGCAAATATATATTATAATTATTTTTAATAACATATAATAAATACCTTTAATACTTGTTCCTATAGTATAAAAAAAGAATGCTCATCATGTTGTGCTTGGCATTCATAAAAATATTAGGATGAAAATTAAGACCTATACAGTATATGTATATGCAAACACAACATCACATCTTATACGGAATATACATATTTGCAAACACAGCATCATATCTTATACGGAATATATATATTAGACGTATGAATACCTATACCTATAGGTAATACATGATAGATTACATATAAGCCATACCATGCGTGGTTACGTACATGTGTATATTGATGTCAAAAAGGGCGAATATAATCAATACCAAAATCGGGCGAACAAAGTGCAAACTAGTAAGTAAATTAAACAAGCATGCTGAGGGATTAAAATATAAATTAACAAAATTACAGGCTAAATGCGAAAATAACATGAAATTAAGAACCACGTAACACATGACTAAAATGAAAGGCGCGTAAACCTAGAGGATGAAATCAGAAATCTCGACA